CATCTAGTATACTAATCCTTCTAACTTCTCAAAAGAAAAACTCAAGTCCAATTTTAAAAAAATTATACTGTTTTAAAGAGTGTCCGAATATTAGTAAGAGTTACCGTATGTAAATTCTATATAACAATATTTTCATAACACTATATAAATTTATATAAATTCAACAGCAACGATAACAAAACAGAAACCGAAGGATCCAACGACCCCAATTTACAAACCGCCATTGGTAAACCCACACTTCTTCGATAACGCCTAATCAACGGAAAAAAGAAAACTTACCATACAGATGAGACACTTGTACGGTTGGCTCCGCATTTCCGCCTCGAGTTCTCGAATTCTGCCTCTGAGGGCTTCGATCACCGGTGTATCGCCATCCCTTCTCGGCGACGCCGCGACGCCCTCGTCCTGTTCGTTCTGGCCAAGAGGCGTGGTTGTTCCTGGTTCAGGCTTCACCTCGACCAAACCTTGACCGATTTGTTCGGGTGTGTGCGGTGTATTGGGGGCATTCGGCGAGATCACATTTTTTTTTTCTTCTGCTCCCTCGGTGTACCTTCCATACGCGGCGTAATCACGTCGGCTTCAGAATACTGTGCTGGCCCAAACTCGGCAGCGTCGTCACCGTCGACCACCAGATCGACGTCTTCGTCCTCCTGTTGATTCGACCCGCCGTTTCCACCGGTTGACGAACGATTGCTCGACGACGTCGCCAGACCTGCGGCTGCCAACACGTCACCAATCAACATTTCCCATTGACTCATTCCCTTTTTTATAAAAATGCTGCAAACATTTTCGATCTTCAGAGATATGCGGAGTTTAGTAAATGTTGAATGAAAGTTTGATTCTATTTGCGTGTGTTGATTGCTAGTGGAATGCTGGATCTATGAAACTTTTAGTCGAATGCGGAATTTCATTATTGGATAATGTGTGAAACGTCGAATTGAAATACTGAATAATCCATGAAATATTGAACCGAGTGTTGAATCTATTAAATATTGAATTGGATTATTGAATAATCTATTAAATGTTGAACTGGATTATTGAATAATTGATTAAATATTGAGTGATATGTTGAGTCCATTGAATATTGAATTAAACGTTACATTTATTAAATACTGAATCAACTATTCTCGGATAATATTTAATATCTACAAACATACGATCAGCTTGTTTAAATTTTTGAACAATTTAATCGTAGAGAATTTATCACTCGACACGTGAAAAAAAGAATCGTTTCAAGTTTTTAAACCTTGATACGATTTAGAAATGTGTACCATATGTATTGTTCAATTACTCCGATTACCAGGTATGTATGAACTGTTTTTTCCGATTTAATATCGAAAGCATAGCTAGCCGTTTCACTAACGATTATTTAGAATAAACATGTGATAGCGAAAAGAGATAAAAATAGAGTATCTCACAAGTGTAAAAGATGTGAATTAGATAACGAAGAAAATTTTATTAGATATTTTATTTTGATTTTTGATTTTATTACTTGTTAATGTTGTTGTACTATTATATATTTTGCTAGGAAAAATTAGAGTCCTATCGTACATATCGATAGATTCGCGTACGGTCGTCACTATGACCTTTCACAGCGAAAGGGTTAATATTTACGGGCCAAATGGCTAATGATAGCACGTGGCGAATTTCACTGACTCACGTGGAAGTTAACGTAAACGAAACAGCGAACGAGTATGCGAATGTTTGTGGAAGTGTGACAAAGATTGGGCAGCGATAAAAATGGAAGAAAGAGAGGAGAGAAGAGAGAAGAGAAGAGGAAGTGTGACAACGATTGGGCAGCGATAAAATTGAAATAAAGAGAGGAGAGACAGAGAAAATTGAGGGAGAGACAGAGAAAATTGAGGGAGAGACACAGAAAACTGAGGGAGAGACAGAGAAAATGGGGGGAGAGACAGGAAAAGAGAGGAGAGATAGAGAAAATTGAGGGAGAGACACAGAAAACTGAGGGAGAGACAGAGAAAATTGAGGGAGAGACAGGGAGAGAAAAAAAGACAGAACGAGGGTAAAGGAGCCTTAAACAAAGCTATTTTTCTTTCAGCTAATCTGTAAGGCTCAGTTCCTCAGAAATACGCTTATATAGAAGCTTACCAGAGAATCCTCCAACGAGCATCGACGTAGCTCGCACTCTTCTCTGTCCAGCCCACTCATATTCCTCGAAAGTTTCGGCATCCCCTTCCACGTCAACTTCCTCTTCGTCTAAATTGTTCTGGCCGGCAGGATTGCCGTTGTTGTGTTTGTTCAAACATCTCTCAACATGCTGATTCAATTCCTCCGGTGTACCAGATAATCTCTCGTTACAAACTGGGCAAGAAGGTTCGTCCGCTTTTCGTTTCCGATTCTTCACACGAATTCTAGCCTGCACATATCACGATACACTTTTTAATTCAGCTCACTCTGTATAAATTTCGTTACATCCTTACAATATAACCCGCGTACAACGTTAAACTTCAGGAAGGTAGAGGAAATTACGCGAATGCAGTAATTTAATAACAATCATCAGCTGAATTGTAACTCGTTTGACAAGTATGCAATTTTCGTCGAAATCGATAGCTATCATCTTCTTTTGAATTAACGTGTTATGAAATATACGCGGATATCGTAAGATATATTTGAAATTTCTGTTAATATTTATTTCATTTTCGTTAATATCATTCGTTAATAAGTTTCACTTTCTGGCTAATTAAGTGGGCGAAATGTAACTAAAGAACGAGAGTACCTACATATATTCAAAAATTGTCTTAAAAAGTCTGAAGCGAAGACTAACATTTGCCAGAAAATTTCGAATATTTCCATCTCCAGAAATATTTCATTAAATTCTAGTCATGAATTTCCATTATCAATCGAATCGCATATTCACGGTACTGCCATAAGGGGGACGATACGGTCCCAGGTCATTCCTACGGAAGATAGGCAATTTTCAACTCGTAACGAACAATATTTGCACGTTTATTTACCTGTCTATTAGCCTTAATCCTTTTGTAAGTCTCCCATCTTCCATGCGGCGTTCCATCAGCGGCTGAAGAGGGGGCATGAAGCATCGGTCCGTGCGGATGATCCTGGGGGTGTCCCGAGGGCAAACTCGCTCTTGGTGCTCGCGTTCGAGACGCCGCCGAGGATATCTTGTAAAGTCGGTCGAGCTCCTGGGCGAAGTGTTGTTCCAGTTCTTGTGGTCTCACGGTGACTCCGCATGCTGGACAACAGGACGGATCCGAGGGAAATTTCTTTTTACCTGTAACAGCGTACAGAGGAACGTTCTGTATTATTCTGTATCATTGGTCCATGCGAATTTTAGGACGAATTTCAGTATTTTTCGTCAATTTTATTATGAATTTTAATTAGATGCTATTTCATTCGAATAATTCTCTTCGTATTTCGTCCAAAGCGGTATTTCTTAACCCTTTTACGGTCCGAATAGTCCAGTTAGTCCACGCTTATTTGGCCACTGTCGGGCAATATCGCGTAGTTTGCTTTTATTTCAATATTCCAGAGTAATATTAAGTTTCGGTATTGTATCAACGCATAGAAAAATGGTTTATTACCATTTATAATTTATAATTTGGTATTGGATGATATCTCAAGGCAAGAATTACACTGCAAAAGGTTAATAACAAAGTGAGTACGAGTAAATGTATTAATTAACAGTTAACTAACAGTAAATTTAGTTAATACTTAATTTGTTCAACAAAAAGTGACGCTCTGACCTTTATCGACGGAATATTGAAACAGAAACTTTGAAGGGAAGATTTCTAAGCATACCGAGGTTAATTAAAAAGGACTCATAGATCTATAGATCTCTCTTTCTGAAATCTTCTGACTCGACGAACCTTGAAATTTACTATTTTCACAGTCAAGTAAACCGTGTAATTAATAATTAACCATTCTTTTCTGCACTATCATTCGATATATTAGTTACAACTGTATTTTAAAATACAAAATAAAGTTTTGAAAAAAGGATCACAAAAATCGTTGCAAAAGCTTGCAATATTACACTCACATCTTTGTAATACTAGAATGAACTCCCATCACCGTTATTTTTATCCATCGAAACGCAGAGAAAGGCAAACGGAGAGGAAAAAGGTGCATTTATCGCTTTAGAAGTATCAATTAACACGATTTAACGAAGAGCGCATTACGTTAAACGCAAAAGAAGCCGCGAACTGAAAACTGTCGCCGCAAGTCACGGGGTTCCAAGCATAGCTCGTTTGCCACGAATTTATTACCTTATAAAAGCTACGAGAAAAGGGAAAGATTTCTCTCTGGGTAATTTGTATAAATTATCTGCGCTGAACGTTTCGTTACTGCTACTTATGAGATCTATGTATCCAAGATTTATCCAAAAGAAAAAAGGATCAATTCGATACGAACAATTTTAACTTGCAACAATATCAATTTCGAACGAATTTTCTTTTTCCACCGGTTAAAATTCTTTCTACTATAATTATTGAAATTTTATTTCTGTAAAATTCAACTGGAAGAAATCGCTTTCTTCTTTAAATTACGAAAGATTGATTCTCAAGCGAGACAGACTGCAGAAATTGCAGAATTAACGATGGAATAGTGATAAAAGAGGTTTTATCACGTAGTATGAAAAATTCTGAGATTCTATTTTGCATATTACTATATATATACGTTCTCAAAAGAAACATTTATCACACGAATTCCCAAAGAATTATGGGATTGAAAAATGTTAGTTTACAAAGAAGATTCCGGATGCTGAAGTTAAATAAGCTCCGTCGAGTGGTTCCACCTGTTACGAACTTTCCACGTTAACGTAAATATTAACGAAACCCGTTTAGCGGCGCAAAGTATTTACACAGTTGTTTATTTATTTAGGGCGAGACGAGATAATTTCTACCGTTTGGCCAGCATTTTATGTCAACATAACTAAAGTGTTGGACGTAAATTAAAGCTAGTAACGATTACTTTCAATATTCCGTACAACTGCGATTTTTATTACAACTTTTCTTTAATTTTTTTATTTTGCAAATTAATTTTCCCAAGCAAATTTGTGAGAAATTTTACGCAAGAAATCGGAAGAACACTTTTCCAAATAGCATGAAATTCGTCGATGATTTAAATAATTCCAGACTGAGATTGTAAGATTTTAAGAAGTATTTGAGGAAGAAAAAGAATTTAGAATTTTAAATTTAGAAAGAGAAACCTGTAGATTATAGCGTGTTCGCGCGATATTTCGAAGTGCACGCACGCGAAAAGAAGATATTTTATCGCCTCGGCCAGGTAAGCGACAATATTTCACGTAATTTCAATGCAACATTAAAATTATATCGCGCAAGTTTAATAAAATTGCCACAATACCAAGCCGATGTAATTAAACGAACTGAGTTTCATTTTTTAGTACTCGTTTCTTGTATATGTACGATACTGGGTCAATTTCGCCCAAATTTACTTATTCGCCTAACTTTGCAAACTTCACACAAATGGTTAACAAAATGTGTCAATATTCCAGTAGAAATATAAACACGCATCGATTCGATTGCAAATATACCGGGTAAATTTCACCAAAAATTTACTTATTCGCGTAACTTGACGAACTTCGTACTTAGAATTTTTTCGGACTATTTACTATTTTTCCGGGATATTTATAATTTTCATACTGTATCGGGCACCTAAAGCTGATTTGTCAGAGATTAATTACATCTAGTAATCGTCGGTTTTAAAAACTGAAAGGAAAGTTAGGATCGAAATGAATTTTTCTGGCTAACATAATCGATCAGAGCCTCTACCACGAGTTCGACTCGATTTTACGAACGAAAGGGTGAAAATAAAGGTAGAATTTTGCGCTGAGGGGTCCGGTAGAATCCTAAAACTGTTACTTCGACACGGAGAATCTTGTCTCGAATGGCTACCGTGTGTTCTTGCCGCTTCTGTAGTCGTTTATTTGGGGAATGCCGCCCAGCTATTCTCGAGCCGTTTAACATATCCTCAAGCGTTTCTCTTCCCTCTCGCAGATTCATCGTTTCCTCCCGATCCGTTTTCCACGTCTCCTCGCCGGGAACTCCTAACAGTTCTTCTCGCGCCTCCGCGCTCCTCTCTTTTTCCCCTTTCAATTAGGTACACTCGGAAATTTATGTCCGCGCCCCGGCCATACCCCGTACTCGATATTCCGTTTTCCTCTCCTTATTGAAACAGACACCTTCTGTTTTCCTTTATAGCCATTGCGGATGGCTTCGATTGGGAATAATCGCGATGCAAAATATTTGCCGGTGCGTTTCTTTCTTCCTTTCTTCCCGCGTTTCGTAATTTCCACGGGTACGGTTATATTGCAACTACCGGAGCAGGTAGTGGGATATTGCCTCGAGAATGTCGCCGTGACTCTTTTGATGCTTATTAAAGTTTCTGCAGAGTTTCGGTGGGTTTTGAGAGATTTTGGTGGATTTCGGCAGAGTTCGGTGGGTTTCGGAGGAAATCGCTAAATTTCAGTAGACTTGAGTGGATTTCAGTAAAATTTAGTAGATTTCAACAGATCTCGGTGGAATTCGCTAAATTTCGGTAGACTTCGGTAGATTTTGGTGAAATTTAGTAGATTTCAGTAGAATTCGCTAAATTTCAGTAGACTTGAGTGGATTTTGGTGAAATTTAGTAGATTTCACTCGATTTCAGTAGACTCCTCTAGAAATTTAGCGGATTTCACTAAATTTCAATAGATATTAGTAAAATTTAGCGGGTTTCACTTGATTCCAGCAGAATTCACTAAAGTTCGCTAAATTTCAGTGGATTTCATTTAAGTAAGAAATGAATTTCATCGAAGTAAATTTCACTTCTTTTACCACGAACACGTTGCACACGTTGCACACGTTCCTCTACGTTAGATAATCTAAAAAGATGTGTATACTATCGTACATTGTTCTATCAAAAATTTCCTCGTAATAAGAGTGAACAGTTTTGCTGAAACGATCTTCCTCGTTAAAATACACATCTTACCGAAAGTAATTTAACTAACGATCAACCACGTGAAATAATCGACGAAATTAGATAACAGAAATTGATGAACGACCCGATAAAACGTCACTTAACCAAACCCTTTTTCGTAATCTCTGAAATTACGCGACTACTTTGGGTAGCGTAAGAACTCGTTCTTACGCTCGTTTTAACCTTATCGACGTTATCATCAAAACCCTTGAAAATGGTCAGAGGATACGATTTTCATTTAAGCAGTTCCGTCTGCTGGCATAATTAACAAAAGCGCCGTCGTTTTTGCGCGTTGGGGCTTAAAATGAACGAAGGAAAAAAGGAAGAGAAAGGGGAGAGACGATGGCTAAACCGCTGAGATTTTCCGATTGTCCTTATCGTTCATCTGAAATGTTCATTTTCTTAAGGCGCGTTCCCCCTCTCTCTCTCTTTTTCTTCTCTTTCAGTAAGGCACACTCGGTGGACAATTGTTTAAGCTATGCGACGAATAGTTGCACTCGAAATTTGGGTGAAACAAAGGCATCGATTGATTATTACTGAATTTTTCAGAAAGACAAATTTTCTTTCAACACTGCAGATCACTTAATCAGGATTCGTGAGACACACTGATAACGAGGTTTACTTATTCGATAATTCGTGTTCTGGTTCGTGATTTTTCATGTTACGAAACGTCGGAATACTCTTTCCATAAGGACACGGTTTACACTCGAACGCCTAAATAATGATAATAATTATACTGCGTCCAGCTTTAGATCTTACACCAATTGAATCTACAGTTTAACCGATTCACCCTTTGAAACCGTTTAAATTCTAAAATCATAGATTTTATAAAAATTTTCTCGTACAGTCCTAACTAGAGAAGACAATTAAGTGGCCTATTTCACCGGAATACTTCACACCTGAAAGTCTCAATAATAATAATTAACCCCGGAGCCGTGAATCTTTAAATTTTAAATTAATCGAATCTTTAGGTTAAACAATTCACTCTTCGAAACCGTTTAAATTATAAAATTATGAATTTTATACAAATTTTCTCGTACAGTCCTAACTACATAGAGAAGATAATTAGGCTTGTTTCGCCAAAATACTTTACACCTGAAAAGCTCAATAATAATTATGTTCCGAGCTGTATAAAGCCTTAAATCAATTGGAGCTTTAGATTAAACAATTCACTCTTGAAACCATTTAAATTACAAAATAACAATTTTGAATAATCATAAATTTTATAGAAACTTTCTCGTTAGTTTTCTCCCAACTAGAGAATATAATTAGGTAGTCTGTTTCACATGGCCCACCCTG